ATAAAAAGAAATGGCCAAATATGCCTAAACATCCTGTGCAGAACAAAATTATTGATCAATTCGAAAATATTAAAAACATATCATAAATGTATCTTAAAATAATTCTGATAAGTTTAAAAAAATATATCTTTTTACTACTTTTGGCCGAACAAATATCCATAATATTAGTAAAAACATCAATTTGAAGATCTGCATCAACAGAACCTAAATATAAAATGTTTATAAATCATTCGTATTTGTTCAAGAGCGCCGATCAAAACTAATCAACCTCTAAAATTCATAACTTCTAACATTCTTGTTAATTGCGATAATAGATCCGAAGGAGTATATAAGCATAACAAAATCTTTTCCATCTTTGAGTTTTGATAATATATGTATGTTGTAAAAGTATTAAATGTGTAACGATGCGCCCCGGGAAACCGCATCGTCCCGGCGACAAACAGTCGGTGCCGCACGACCGAACAGCAGTCGGGCGACGAAACGGCGCGAACGCGCCCGTTATAATCGTGTAAATAACGCAAGACGGTTTAAACGTTATACATTTAAACAATAGTGCGGGAGACGTGGCACAGAAGCTGCGCTACACGTCTCCCCCCACTACCGCGCCAGAACCGGCAACCCGGGGGGTATAAAAAGCCGGGCAAAAAGCGCCAAGGGACCTATCGTCTACGAGCCGACTGTTTCAGTGAATAGACGAGACCCGCTCCTCAGAGGCAGTTCTGAAGTCAAGAGTCTTGGCTTCAGTCTAGAAGTTCTCGACGGCTACCTCAAACTCCTATCACCACCTTCTCGGCTCTCGCTTTCGGGTAACGCGTTATTGCCTGTGCCACGAGTTCGTGGCGAGCGACCCGGCCAAATTCCATCCCGGTCGAGTCAGCAGCACCTCAGACCCCGTGTTCAGGGCCAGAGCCAAGTGTCTTGGCCGCCGACTCGAATCCTGACCGACGTCTCCTCGCAAAGACCGATACCACCGACCGGAGCTCCCATCCGCGAAGGGATTCCGTACGTGACGCGGAGGCCTTCCGTGAAACGCTCGACAGCCACCACGTGGTGACTGTCACCGTACCACGAGGGTAGCACGTGCCACCGCGTCATCGCGCCGCGACGCCCGCGACCACGCATCGCCCGCGTTACACGTTGCGACATGCCGCGCACCGTCCGTGCCACTCGTGGCGCGACTCACAGCGGACCTGTATATATGCTTGTAAATAGTTACGTTTAAGAGAATAAATTTATATTGTAGTCGTCCGAAAAATACACGCCTCGTTATTACCGGAACCCCTCCTTCCTTCGCCTGAACCACTTTCGATTCCTGGACACGCTGGCGAGCTGATCCGCGACTCAAAAGGTAGGTTGCCCCCTCCCCCTTTCAAAGTGCCTGAATTTTGAGGCATTTACAATGGTCTTTTGCGGATGCGGCGGACCGTCCCGTTCGCGTTAAATGGAATGTGCCAGCGGTTTTTTCTGAAACGGCATTTCCATTCCCGCGAGACGTGAGCAGAAAAATGCGGGATTTCGACAATGTGTCCCGGCTCGACCTCGACCGGAATCGGCGGTGGCGGTAATGGCTCCATGACCCGGGCCGGTTCCAAGCTTGGACGCGAGGGTGCCGGTGCCCGGGTTTCTGGTTGCCGTCGGCGTGGTGAAGCCCGAGGGGAGTTTGTAAGCCACTCGAACTTCAATCGCCGCTGCCAGTCCGAGGGCTGCACCACGTTTCCGTGGATCCCACGGTCGGCACGCGTTTGTGGCCTGGCTGCGGATCCGGTGTCGGTGCCGCGGTGGGTTTCGCTGGTGATATCGGTCGGACGTCCGCTCGCGTTCCCTCTTCGCGCACACGGTTTCAGATCTCATCCATTTCTGGGTGAGCCGGGTCGTATTCCTCCGCGCCGTGTAGGATCTTGTCGATCGCCTCGAGAATATCGTCGTGCTCCATCGCGTACAGCAGTCGGTCGCGAAGTGTCGGTTTTCGGTGGCATATCGCGGGGTAGTGTACGGTTAGGGGTGGGGAGGGGGCTTTGCTCTGGCGTTCACTTCCTGTTGTTGTTTTTATTCCTCGTCGGTCTCCGATTCGGCGGCCGGTGGTGGCTCCTCGGCGTTCGTGTTTTCTTCGACTTGCTTCTCCGGCGCGGCTTTCAGGTCTTGAATGTGTATGTGTCGGGTCCAGCGGCCACGGGTGTCGCGCAGGTCGACGATTACGGGGGATATTATTCGTCGCACCACGAATGGGCCTCGGAATTTTGGGGCCAATTTTGCGTTAAAGGCGGCGGCTTTGTTAGAGAGTGGGTACTCTCGCTTCTATACCCATTCCCAAACTTTTGATTTCCATGAGCGGCGGCGCAGATTGTAATATTTTTCCTGCCTTTGAAAAGCACGCGCAAGGTGGATTTTGACTAATTCATATGTTTCTTCGAGGTGGCGACGAGTAATATCGAGGGCTGGCGCGGGGTGAGATTCAGCGGCTTATGTGTTTACTGGGGATATTAATTCCCGGCCGCAATTCAGGTATGCCGGTGTGTATCCAGTTGCGTGTCTCGCGGTATTAAACGCGAGATGGATATTAAACTGGAATTGGGGCACGCGTTCGTCCCAGTTGCAGTGGTTGCGATCTACGTACTGGGCGATCATGGTCTTTATATGGTGAAGTTCGTACGCTCCACGGGGTTGCAGTGGGGCGCGTGGACGGGAGCGTACGCGTGTCTTATGTTAAAGGCGGCTAGTAACTTCTCCAGTTGGTGGGCGCGTAGCTGTGTCCCGTTGTCGGTGAGGATTACTTTGGGGCAACCGTGCCGGAATATAATGGCCACTGCGATACATGTGGATACTGCGGTGGCGGTGGCGCTATGCAGGGGTCGCATCTCTACCCATTTAGAGAAGCGATCCTGCATATTAAGAAGCCAGGTGTGGTCCTTTTTTGAACGCGGGAGGGGCCCCACGAGGTCGAGGGTCACGTGTTGCCAGGGGCGGTTCACCGCGGTCGCGTGGAGGATGCTGGCGGGGCGGGTTTGTGCTACTTTATGTTCTAAGCAATTCGAGCATTTCCGTACGTAGCGCGCGATCTCGCGGAACATCCCTGGCCAATAGTAATATCGCGCGACCCGGCAGATAGTTTTTGCTATGCCCAGGTGCCCGGCGGTCGCGTCGTCATGATTGGCTCGCATAATGTCTGGTCGCTGGTCAGGATGCACAGCTTCCATTGGTTTTCGGCCGCGATTTCTTTGAAGTCTAAATTATGTAGGATGTGTCGGTACAATTTCCCTTGCCGTATTTCGTAGTCTAGGTAATCGTGCGGGGTGGTGCTTACGGCGGTCTTTATCCGGCGGTACCATCGCGCGCACCGCGGGGGTGCTTCGGCGGCGGCCACGATGGGTTGCCGTGAGAGGGCGTCCGCCACGCGGTTCAGGGTCCCCCTTCGGTACTTAATGTCCATGTCGTATTATTGTTCGAACGACCAGCGTTCGAGCTTCTCGGTTGGTGCGTCGAGTCTCTGTAGCCACCGGAGGGACTGGTGGTCCATAACCACCGTGAACGGATATCTTTTCAGGTAGTCTCGCATTCGGCGGATCCCCCAGATTACCGCGAGGCATTCTAGTTCGGGGCGTCGGTCAGGATTTGAGTCGGCGGCCAAGACACTTGGCTCTGGCCCTGAACACGAGGCCTGAGGTGCTGCTGACTCGACCGGGATGGAGTTTGGTCGGGTCACTTGCCACGAACTCGTGGCAATGACGCGTACCCGAGAGCGAGAGCCGAGAAGGTGATAGGAGTTTGAGGTAGCCGTCGAGAACTTCTAGACTGAAGCCAAGACTCTTGACTTCAGGACTGCCTCTGAGAAGCGGGTCTCGTCTATTCGCCGGAACGGTCGGACGGCTCGTAGACGACAGGTCCTTTGGCGCTTTTTGCCCGGCTTTTTATACCCCCCGGGTTGCCGGTTCTGGCGCGGTAGTGAGGGGAGACGTGTAGCGCAGCGCTTCTGTGCTACGTCTTCCGCACTATTGTTTAAATGTATAACGTTTAAACCATCTTGCGTTATATACACGATTATAACGGGCGCGTTCGCGCCGTTTCGTCGCCCGACTGCTGTTCGGTCGTGCGGCACCGACTATTTGTCGCCGGGACGATGCGGTTTCCCGGGGCGCATTGTTACATCAGTATTCGGTAAACTTTATGATCATTAAAAATAAATATATATAAACAATTATTTGTCAATTTATCATATGGAATTACTAATGCCATTGCATATGTTTGCGAGATGATTATACTCATCTCCGATATTCTGCTTATAAAAGCATCGATGCTGTTTGTGTTATAATGCAAGGACGTTGCTGAAAATTTTACATTTGGTGCTAAACGATTAAATACGGTTCCACATCCATCAATACCCAATATAAAAATACTTTAGTTCAGTTCAGTGTTTTTCTGTTTTCTAGT